GTGGGAAAGGAGAGAAAGAGGAGAGAGAAACAGGAGCAAAAAAAGTGCTGAGGGAGCCTGCTGTTGGAGTGGTGCAGACCTGGGGAAGCCATGTGCTATTAGCTTTCTAGCCAGGCCATGAGGCACAGCAGGTCAAGAAGGGACAGATACAGCACATGCAGCTAGATAGGCAGAAGAAAGGAAAAGAAGGAAGGGAGAGATAAGAAACTAGATTTTTTTTTTAAAAAAGGAGAGAGAAAGATGCATTGATTAGGTGATTGGGAGAAAGGAATGGAAGGAATGTAGAGAGAAACAAGAAACTGAGAAAAAGAAAAGAAAAAAAGCCAGGTAGTTAGGAGGAAGGGAAGGAAGGGATGTAGAGAGAGACAACAAACCAAGAAAAAAAAGTAGAAAGAGAAAAAAAAGTGCCCCAATGGGACCCACCAGAAGCAGGTCCCCAGCCGAACAGCACTGCACAGCCCATCCAGAAGGAGCAGAGATGGCACACTGCACCAGGTGTTAAAGAGAAGGGTACAGAAGGGAGGTAGAGAGAGACAAGAAAGCAAGAAAAAAAATAAGAAAGAAAGTAAAAATAAAAAAATGCCCCAGTGGGTCCACCAGAAATGAGTCCCCAGCATGGCACTGCACAGTCCATCAAGAAGGCGCGGCGGTGACACATGGCATCAGGTGCTCAGGGGAAGGGTAAGGAAGGAAGATAGAGGGAGACAAGAAATTGAGAAAAGAAGATAAAGAGAAAAAAAGATACCCCAAGGGAGCTCACTGGTGTGGTGGTGTGGACTGGTCAAGTGGCTCCCCAGCTGTGAGGCACTGCAAAGCCCATCTAGAAGGAGCAGAGATTGCACATGTACCAGGTGTTCATGAGAAAAGAAGGGAAAGATGGTAGAGACAAGAAATTGAGAAAAAAAAAAAAAAAACACCCAAGGGAGCCTGCTGGCTTGGCAGTGCAAACTGGGGAAGTGGCTGCCAAGCCACCAGTCACTGCAAAGCCCATCTAGAAGAGGTGGAGATGGCACATAGTGCCAAGTATTCAGGAAACAGGAAAAAAAAAAGGAAAGAAGAGAGAGATGAGAAACTGAGAAATGAAGAAAAGGAAAAAAAGAAAAAGAAAAAATACTAATAATAAATAAAAGAAATGCCCCTAGGGATCCCACAGGCATGGTGGCGCAGACTGGGGAAGTGGATCCCAAGCCACAAGGGACAGCCTGTCTAGAAGGGCCAGAGATGACACACAGCACCAGGTATCAGGAGACAGGGAAAGAAGGAGAGAGCAACAAGAAATTGAGAAATGAAGAAAAACAAAAAGGAAAATAGAAAAAGAAAAGGAAAAAAAATGCCACCAGGGATCCCACCCGTGTGGCAGTGCTGAGTGGTTCCCTAGCCAAGCAGTGCTTCACAGCCTGTCAAGAAGAAGCAGAGATGGCACACGGAGCCAGGTGTTTGAGAGAAAGGAAGGGAAGGAGGTGAGAGAGAGAAGAAACAAAAAGAAGCCAAAAAAAGTAGCAACACCAACAAAAAATGTCATTGAAGGAGCCAGCAAGTGTGGGCAAATCCAAGCGGCATGGAGTCAGCACCTCCCCAGCTGAGTGACTGTGGCCCACCGGGAAGCGGCAGAGGCTGAGCAGGGGGAAGAAGGGTAAGGAGTGGGAAAGTGTGTATCTCTGGTTACCTGGTGTTCTGTCTCCTGCTGGGAGCTCTGTGAAGCTGCCCTCCCGTACTACCTGTTCACCGATCTCAGTGGCTGATGAGTCCAAGATGGTGAATCCACGCCTTGTTAGCTGATAGGTGATCTCCAGTCCGTATCTCTCCTCGCTGTCTGTTGTCTGTCCGTTTCTTATTCCATTTGGTGCTTGGTTGAGTTCTTTAACTCTTCATTCGACGCTTAGGGTTCCAGGATTGACATTTGTCTCTGTTTTACTTAGTTTTTCAAGTCTTTGCTGTGGAGGGACGACGTGGTGCTTCCGTCTGTAGTGCCCTGTTTGCTGTGCCCTGGATAACTTTTCTTTGGAATGGGCACAAATATGGATCTCTTCCAGTCAGTTGGTCTGGTAGCTGTCTTCCAAATTTCTTGGCACAGATGAGTGAGCACTTGTAGCGCTGCATCTGTTTGTTGAAACATCTCAGCTGGTAGTCTGTTAATTCCTGGAGCCTTGTTTTTCGCCAATGCCTTCAGTGCAGCTTGGACTTCTTCCTTTAGTACCATGGGTTCTTAATCATATGCCACCTCCTGAAATGAGTGAACGTCAATCTATTTTTTTGGTACTGTGTGTATTCCTTCTATCTTCTTTTGATGCTTCCTGCATTGTTCAATATTTTCCCTGTAGAATCCTTCAATATTGCAAATCAAAGCTTGAGTTTTTTCTTCAGTTGTTTCAGCTTGAGAAATGCTGCATGTGTTCTTCCCTGATCTGACCCCTGCCTGTTTCTTTTTTGTGCTTGTGGTAATGCTAGTCTTTTTTTTTTTTTTTACCAACACGTCAAATTCATTTCCATCATAAGGACTGTACTTGCTGCATCTTTTGTCTGAAATACTCTTTTCCCAGAGGTAAAGATGGCTGGCTCTTCTTCAATGTCAAGGCCCAGTTCGTATGGGACCTTTGAGAGGGACTTCTTGAACTGTTAAAGCTAAAGTAGCCTCCTCTCTGGTCACTTTCTATCACTGTTTCATTTTACTCATTTCTTTGCTTATTTATTGTCTAATTCCCCCACCAGTGAAGTATAATCTCCATGAGAGTGCAGTCTTTGTCTTATTTACCACTTTGTCTTCATTTCCTAGGACTTTATTGTTGTATGAGTCAGAATCAACTTGATGGCAATGGGTTTGGTCTGGGTTTTTGGTTATTGCTGTTGGTAGCTGCCGTTGAGTCAGCCCCTAACTGATGGTGGTCCTATGTATAACAGGATGAAACATTGCCCGGTTCTGTGCCATCCCCATGATTGGCTGCGAATCGGACCATTGTAATCCATAAGGTGTTCACCGACTGATTTTTGAAAAGATCACCAGGCCTATCTTCCTAGTCTGTCTTAATCTGGAGGCTCCACTGAAATCTGTTCAGTATCACAGCAACACACAGTCCTTTACTGACAGATGGGTGGTGGCTGCGCATGAGGTGCATTGGCTGGAAGTCAAACCCAGGTCTGCTGTGTGGGAAGTGAGAATTCTACTTCTGAACCACCACTGTGCCCCTTAGAACATTATCTGGCACATAATAAATAATAAATATTGTGAGTTAATGGATGAATAGTCATTATGCAGAAAGCTGTGTTTGCCTCACTCTGTCACCAGTGCCGTCACCTTCTGCGAGAATGTCTATGTCAAGGCAGGCTGTAAAACATAATAGTTAAGACTGAACTCTGGAGCTAAACTCCTGGGGTTTGAACCTGGCTCTGCAACTTACAAACTGTGTGATGTTAAGCAGGTTTCCTAACCCCTCTGTGCCTCACCTGAGAAGGTTGCTGTGAGGATTAAATGAAGGAAATACATGCAAAATGCTTAGAACAGAGTCTGGCACCATAGTAAGCATACCAGAAAAAAATATTAGCCATTATTTTCTGATTATACCAGCTAGGGTCTCTTCAGTTGCTAACAAGTGAAACAAACTTGAGGAAGCTTAAGCAGCACAGGGGAATTTGTTATATGATTATAAGGTTGTTTCACAGAAGCCAAAGGCAAAAATGCATCTGGCCTTAGGAAGGAACTAGAATCAGCAGTCTGAAAGCCATTGGTAAGTGTTCTTTCTCTGTCCATCCTCATATGGTGGCTTTTCTCTGCACTTCTGTTTTAGTCTTCTTGTTCTGCATCCAAACAGCTTTTCCTCCTCCTCAGACCTCACGGCAAATATGGCCTCAATACAGACCCAGCCACTCTCAGGATTGACAGGCAATTCCTTGGTCTCAAATGCAAATTTCAAGGAAGTGGTAATCTGATTGGCCCTCTAGAGTCTGATGTCCACCCCAGTCAATCAGTCAACCCAAGGGATGGGGATCATGCAGTACGAACACAGCAGCTGGTGACTACCCAGAGGTTGGGGCAATCTCCCAAGAAAGGGACATTATTGGCCCATGGGCTGGGCAGATACCCTAAAAGGAGTCCACTACACAGATCTTCCCAAAGCTGCCATGTGGAAATAATGACCTGGCCTCCCCATCCTTGGGCAAGCCAGGCACACTGCCTGTGCCCCCAGGTCTTACAGAATCACTCTGGCTCCTCTCTGAGGACAGTCACAAGACTACAGACCTATCCTCTTCAGGTCTTCATTCCATCCATGAGCCAAACATTCTAACATTTCCTCCTCACAGACTAACCTTCATGCAGATCAACTCAGGCAGATAGAAGTCTGTGGGGCTGTTGGCTCTATCACTTCATCCCACGCTCTCCTTTGTCACTTTACCCCTATGTGTATGACCTGTATTTTCACATCTAGAGAAGGTTTCTACCTTAGTTTCCTAGTGCTCTGTAGTACAAGTACCACAAGTGGGTAGCTTAAAAAAACAAAAAATTTATTTTGTCACAGCTCAGGAAGCTAGAAGTCCAAATTCAAGGCACTAGCTTTAAGGGAAAGATCTCTTGCTGTCTGTTCTGGGGGAAAATTCTTGTCTCTTTCAGCTTCTGTAGTCCCAGTTTTCCTTGGTTCCTTGGAGATCTTCATGTGGTATCTATCCCCTGCCCCTATTTGTGTTTCACTGTCTCTGTGTCTAATCTACTTTTTTTATAACTCAGAAGTGATTAGGTTTAGGACACATCCTACACTGGCATGACCTTATTAACACAGCAAAGAAAATCCTATTTCCAAATGGGATTACATCCACAGATATAGGGGCCAGGACCCCAAAACACACTTTTGGGGGACACAATTCAATCCATAACACCGACCAAATCACATAAAACCAATGACACTCATGGTTTTACTGTTGGGTTTTATTGCAGAACTTTAGGTAAGAGTAAGACGTCTTAAGCAAAGGAGACTTTTGAGAAGTGTAGGGAATGGAGGTGCAGGTCAGGTTTATGCCCAGTTGCAGCAATCACAGCTGATGTCAAAGACAAACCCAGCCTGGCAGTGTTGCTGGTATGTGATTCCATTCAGGCAGTGCCAGAAGGCATTTCTTTTACTAGCCACAGGGAACAGTCCATTGGCTTTGCCAGCCCAGAATCCACTGCCCCCATAGCTGCCTCCAGAGCTGCTGCTTCCACTCCCACTTCCGCTCCCACTTCTGCTTCCACTGCTGGGAGAAAGTGTTATTGGGGCAATGGGCTGAGCTGGTGGGGTGCAACCTGAAACATACAACACAAAGAACAGACTGGTGAGCCCAGTAGAGGCTCAGAGCTTTGCCCAAACGTGAAGAGATCTGGAGGGAGATAGGGAACTGGAGTTGGGGTGCAGTTAGATTCTGGATCCTTGAAACTCAGGGCTCCATACTTAGGAATTAAAAAAAAAAAAAAAGCTATGATTTCAAGCCAGCCTGGCTTTATATAAAAGAAGTTCTTTTTTTCCCTTGATACTGTCTAAATCATTCAAAAAATATGTACTGAACACCCAGTATGTGCAAAACACTTTTCTAGGATCTGGGTATAAGTGGTGAGCAAACGAGCTCTAAGAGGAAATTTCTGAGACTGCTGGAAAAAATTTAGGGAGTTGGTACTTACCCTGAATTACAGATCAGAAATATGTGAGCATAGGTGAGGATTTCTTCTTAAATCTCCTCCAGAAGGGCTGAGAGAGAATTTTAACAAGAGATTTTGTAGGGAAGCAGATGCTTATATTGAAGGTTAGAGAGCCTTCCATGGGCATTGATTTCTTGAGGCTCTTCTACATCTTTAAGACTTAACTGACCTAGAAAACCTATTCAAGTGAAGCTGGTTTCCCATAAGAGCACAAAGTTCTTATCATGGAGGTTCAGAGGTAGGGGTTGAATGCAGCACCTGTCTCTAGTTGCATGAGAGCAGTGAGGAAGATGAACAGAATTTCCCCAGGCAATGGGGGTGGGAACAATGAGGACTGTCTTTTGAGTTGGAGAAGGAGCAATTCTATGTCCTGGGCATCCCCTGCTGTCACCTACTTGCACTCTGCAAGCCAAGAGCATTCTTCAGGATGGAGATCAGGGGGAGCTTGCTCTGGCTGCAGAAATTACCAGTGAAGTCATCCAGGCCAATGGCCCAGATCTTGGTGCCTCCAAAGTTGCTCTGCTTAAGCCATTGAGCCTGTTCAAGCAAAGAAGACACCAGAAGTCAATTTATTTCCTGGGGCTCAGGGCTGGGACTTCACCATGTCTGAGGGGCTGACCTTACCTTGATATTGAAGCTCTTGTCGTTGTCATAACCAACTCACTCATTGCCCTGATAGGCATAAGGCACATCCTGAGGGGCATCCCGTTCCTGAGTGGCTCCATTTTTCAGAAAAGTATAGATCTTTAAAAAGTCAAGAAATTAAAATCTGTTAAATATAACTCCTTTGAAAGAAAAAACATACACTTGCTCTTTGATTTTTTTTTCTTTCGTGTCTCCAATTGAGGTTTTCCTCAGTTTTCTGACTGAGTTTTTATCTGCAGTAAAGGAGATCAATTTGCTTTTCAAATACTCTCATGTTGTCCCTACTCTTAGTGTTTCATCTTTGAAGCCCACAGTAATATGAGAGATATATTTATTTTATTCCTTTGTGTGCTAATATAAATGACTTTAAGTGTGTGCTCTTTTGCTTGAAGGGATATTGCACATTATTAAGTATTTTTCATATTGAATTCAGTAAAATAACAAGTTATTTAGACACTTTAAGCATTGGAGTGATCCTCCTCCCATTGCAGTCAAGTCGATTCCAACTCATAGTGACCCTGTAGGATACAGTAGAACCACCCATAGGATTTCCAAGGCTGCAATCTTTACGGAAGCGTATTGCCACATCTTTCTCCCATGGAGCGGCTAGTGGGTTCGAACCGTTGACCTTTCAGTTAGCAACCAAGCGTTTAACCCCTGTGCCACCATGGTTTCTTATTGGAGTGATGCTCTGGATTTAAAGCGGGTAGGTAGGAGACAGAATGAGCCTTCAAGATTTCTGCAAATTCTAGCTATAAGCCTACTGGCCAGCATCATGCATGAAATTCACAGAACACTAAGCAGCCCAATCTTCCTACCTCATGTTGTTATTGTTGTTAGGTGCTGTTGAGTCGATTTCGACTTATCGTGATCCCACATGACCGAGTAGAACTGCCTCATAGCGTTTCCTAGGCTGTTATCTTTATGGGAACAGATTGCCAGGTCTTTCTCCCATAGAGCCGCTGGGTTGGTTCAAACTTCCAACCTTTGGTTTAGTAGCCAAGCACTTAACCATTGCACCACCAGGGTTCCTTCACCTACCTCATAGTATGCCCAGAATCCAGCCTGCCTGGTGTAGGGCCCAGCAGGACCAACATCAGAGGTGGGTGCACCAATGCTGGTATTGGAGGGGTTGCTCAGGATACAGGTGTGTCCATAGGTTGAGAATCCAATGATGAGCTTCTCGGCTGGGGGTCCATTATTCTTCCAGTAGTTCATGGCATATTCCTGCAATGGCAGTGGGTTAGCTAGAGGCACCCCCACCCCAGCCGATGGCCCGATGCTTAGTTATGCTATTCCTCTGCGTTAACTGGTAAAATTGATGAGGTTAATGACAGATGGAATAATTAGTGTTTTTTCCAAATACTTTGGTAAAATTATAGTTAATGCGATATGATAGGCCACTTAGGAGGATAATTATCCAAATGAGACATTTGCAGAATTTATGTTGATTTTTATCCCTGAATCTCCATGTAATTTACAACAACATCCCTGGTCTGCATGTGAATCTGGGCAGGGGCTCACCACAATGAGGGAGGCGTTGCTGCCAGTGTCACCGGGATACTTGTAGAAGGGGCTGTTCTCTCCAGTGTTGCTCTCCCAGGAACCATGGAAGTCATAGGTCATGTCATGGATGTAGTTCAGGTACCTGAGGTGGGATAAAGGATTTAAAATCATTTGTGATGGTTATTTCCTACACCCATTCAGGCAAAAGATACCACTTCCAAAGCTTCCTAAGCAAAGTCCCTAAACAGCAAGACAGAACAAGGACAAGTGTGCCTTGTATAAGTGATGCCTACAGGAGTTTGAGGATAAGGTACATCACTCACTGGGACAGCTGGGGGATCTCATAGCCAGATGGATGTTAGAGATGCCAGCAGCTACCGCAGTGGTGATCATCAGCCTGGACTTGTTGACCTGCTTGGTTTCCTGCTTAAAAGCTTGATGCATTTCCTGTGGAGTAATAAAGTACAGTAGGGCATCTAAGAAGCTGCTTTCAGCTCCCTAAATAACAGTAAACATATGTTTGTATAATGTTTTCTTTTTCAAAGTACTTTCACACATTTTATCTTACTTTAGTCTCTCTACTTCCTTACAAAATAGATAGGACAGATAACATGAATCTGATTTACAGTTACCTAATTTGCAAGTTTCATAACATAATATACAAGGCCCCACATGCTCTGATTCTGGCCATCTATGCAGCCTCGTCATCCGTCACTCACCAATTTGTCCGTACATGTCTGTAAGTCATTTGTGCAGGTCCCCTCCTTCACTTAATTGGTTAACACAGTTTCTTTCAAAACTGAGCTCAAGTGTCAGTTTCTCTAGGAAGTGCTTCCTGATCCTGCCCCAGAGTAGCATGAGGTACCTTCGATCTGTGCTGCTTTTATACTCTGCATACTTCTATCATGGCCCTTATCAAAAGGTACTGTAATTGTTGGTTGTTTTTCGGTCTTCCACCTTAGACTGTGTGCTCCTGAAAGCCAAGGACAGTGTATCTTATTCTTATCCTTACCCCCACACCTAACCCAGTGTCTGGCGAAGAGTAAGTGCTAAGTAATAATAGACAGTCTGGTGTAATGATTAGAAGTAATGGACTCTGTAATTAAACTGCATGGGTAGTTCTGACATCTACTAGTTAAGTGATGTTGGGCAAGTTACTTAACTTCTCTGTACCTAGTTTCCTCTTTTGTAAAATAAAGATTATGATAACTATAGTACCTATGTCATAGTTATGTGAAGATGAAATGAGTTATGGTTTATAAAATATCATGGAATATACTGCCGGGCACATAGTAAACACATTGCCAGTTATTACTGTCACCATCATTATTAAAGGCGTGTTGAATGAATGCATGATCTCTAAAAATCTTTGCAATGCTAGGATTCTATAATTCTAAATTACAATTTAGTTTTACTCTGGAAACCCCAGATTCATCTTGAAAAGAATAGACCGTGGACTTTCTTGGCCTAAAGATTGTTACTTCCCCCCTCACCTGCACCAGGAGGGTGAAGAGGTGCTTATCCTGAGGAGGGCTCCCACGAGAGCCAGGATACTCCTAGTCAAAGTCCAGCCTGTCAAACTCATACTGACACAGGAATTTGATGACTGAGGCAATGAAAGTCTTTCAGTTCTCAGGAGTGGAAACCATAGCAGTGAATCTGGGAGAAGGACAGGAGGGAGGAAGAGACGCTCAGTGCAGCCAGGTGTCTTGTTACTGTTGATGTTATCCATATGTTCATGGCACACACCTGTCTGTGCCTCTGACCTTCCCCTGGGGACCCAGGTTGCTCTCAATTGATATGATGTCTTGTGCCCCGTCTTAAGCTGATACTAAGCTTGTTGAGACCACTGGCTTCCTCACTTCACTACATTTCCATGAGGCTGCATGTTCAGGGTTCTTAGAGAAGCAAGTAACTGTATTACTTCTTTCGATCTAGAAACTTTCAGCTTACCGTGAATTCATCATTGTCATTCCTCAGATTTATTCTCAGAGCTTGCTCTTTTGCTGCATAGTCTGTCCAGAAGCATCCCTTCTTTTTTTATCCTCCAGGCCTGATTCTCTGCAATCAGCCCTCCTGGGACACGTGCTTCCCTCACTGGCCCCTATGGTAGATGTTCTCCAGGTACCACATTTCCTGAGCCACTCTATTCCATGGCTCTAGCTCAAACTCTGCAATTTCTGCCTCGGAGCCATTCACTGGGACCCACAGGTCAGATTAAAGCATGTTCTTGGTTTCTCCTGTCCTTACTTGGTAACACTACTCTTCCCAGCTATGCTGCCTTATGTTCCCTCTATTTCATTATCCACCCAACTCTGATCTTTCTCCCAAGCTGCACTTGTTGCTTTGAACACTTGGTTAATTCAGCTCTCTGTGTTCTCTCTCCAAATAGTCCCCCAAGTTCCTATAACCTCCAAAAGGTCTACATGACTTTTTCTTCTCCCAAAATGTAAATAGGAGAAGTTCTATAACACCTTCCTCAGGGTTTCTGCTTTTGAAATACCTTAAGAAGAGGTTGCTTTGGAATCTCAGTAACTAAACCTCTGTGGATGGGGTCCCAGAATATCTATCCGAATATAAACATATAAAATAAATTGTGTTCTACTTCATATTGAGATTCTGTTCAATTTCATATTGAGGATCATATTAAGCAAAAATTAGCATATTTGTTTAATGTGCATCCTTAATGTTCTTAGACTGTGAAGTCTAAAGGGACAGGGCTCACAATAGGCTACTGCTTTCAATAGCAAATGGCTCTCTGATAGAGTACTTACAGGGCAGTTCCAAAGTTCCAGCCTCTAATGGCCAGGAGAGTTTTCAGCTGGCTATTCCTGTAAAACAGAGGTTTAAAAAAACGGAAATTTCAAAATTTATATGCATTCGTTTGTTTAAAATAACATTGCTTTAGAATCAGGCCTGCTGCCTTGATAAGGTGGGCTATAGAACAATTTTCCTCAACTGCTGAAAATTTTCTTTATAAAGTCTTTGTGTCATTATCATCATAAAAGCACTCAAGTTTTCTTAAGGAAATTTAAATTATGGAACTTTTTTTTAAATGAATGATTGACAATATTTTTTAACTTAAGCATAATTGCCTTTTATTCTATTTCATCAGATGAAATGGTAATGTTACTTGGGCATAATTATTTTATCAGCCTCTGTGACAATAAATTAATTGGCTTGACATAGATTAATTGGCTTGGAATTACACACTCTTTTTGGAATAGTGGTTTTCAAACATCAATGTATGTAAGAATTATGTGCAAGCATCACAGTGGCAGGAGGACGTTAAAATTTCAGGTTTATAGCCTCTCCCCCAGAGACTCTGATTCAGTTAGACGGAATAATTGGCATTTTTATCAGGTGCCCAATGTGATTCTGATGCAAGTGGTCAAAGGGCCATACTTCAAGAAACACCACTCTAAGGGGTTTGTCTCCAGTTAGGTCTCATAATTTAAATTCCAGTAGCTGCATTCAAGATAGTATCACTATTGAAGATAGCAATGAATTGTAACTTTATTCTCCTAGATATGACTAGCCTGAGTGAAATCGGAAATTAAAGAACACCAGAGGGCTTTTTTTTACACAAAAATAAAACTCTATTAAAATAGATATTTGGGTTCAATTGTATCTGATTTTTAATATTCTTTGCCTCCTACTCCCTACGGCGAGAAGCTATGATGGCTTATAGTTTCCTAGGTCATAAAAAAGATATTGTCAGAGAAAGGAGGAAACAGAACCAATATATATTTTTTAATATCTACTAATCCAAAACAGTAGGTTCCCCTAAAGTAAAACTCATCTGTCTATAAAGCAGAGAGCAAATCTCTTTCCCTAGTATTGTTTATCTCTAGATATGGTTTTTCAAAAAGTAATATTGGAATATAAATAAATCACATATTATATATGAACCTGATAATTTGCATATGGGTAACCTACAGAGATTTGAGGTTTATGGTGGGAAAAACAGGCAATGATTGTGAGGATGGCACATGACCAGGCAGTGTTTCATTCTGTTGTACATAGGATCTCTATGAGTTGGAACTGATTCAACAGCATCTAATAACAACAATGCTATGTTATCTATATCCTTGTCACTTAAAGTGTAGTTCCTGGACCAGAAGAATCAGCACCATCTAAGAGCTTGTTAAAAATGCAGCTTTTTCTTCATCTCAAATCCGCTGTATCTGAATCTGCATTTTAAGAAGATCCCTAGGTGACTTGTTTGCACATTAATGTTTTAAAAGTCCTGACCTAGGAGATACCAAATTAGATGTCTCCCTCTTCTCTTACTTGTTTTTCAGGCCACTGAAAGCTTGATAGAGAGTCACATCTTTCCACTGAGTGGTGGTGATCTCATTGTTGTGCATCCCAGCAAAGGCATAGATCAGGTGAGTACAGAGACGGGTTGATGTCATCAGGATTGATGTGCCCAGTGCCTGGCCGGTACTGGGCCCAGTTGGTGAAGTAGCATGTCAGAAAGTAGGTAGAACCTGTGGAGAGTAAGGAGTAAGGACAGTGGCCTGATTTAGGGGACAGTGAAATGTGCTGCAGATTTTGGCCCTGCTTCTGTTTCCCTCCCTGTGTCTCTGGTGCCTGATCTCTGGGTGGGAGTGGTTAGTATGAACAGTCTTGCAGATGAATTCCAAGATTTTAACTTCAGGACTGGTCAATGACCTGGAATTGATTATTTTTAACTTTGACAGATTTATTTGGGACCCCTGGATAAGCCTAGGAGCTTTCTGAGGAAAGACGGCCAGTAGTCCTATGAAGCTCAATAAACACAAGATTATAACTCTCAGACGGTCACACAGAAGAACAGAAGTGACACCCAATCTGAAATAGTAGGTCACCCCAAAGTTAAACCTATCTCTCTTTCAGTGGTATGGTTTATCTCTTGATATATTGCAAGTAATATTGGTATATAAATCAATCCTGTATAATACGTAAAGCAGAGATTTTTCATAGAAGTAATTTATAGGGCATTGAGGTTTATAGTGGGAAAAGATTATGTCAGAGGTAGAACATGGAGTCAATGACTTACCCAGCTGAGAATTCAGCAGAAGGGTTAGACCTAAGAGAGAAAGAAAAAACATTATACTCTGTGTCAATTGTCTATACCTGTAGAATCTAGTTCTGAAACCTTGGGTGCCATTCTGTTAGGCATAGATTGTTACAACCCCAGTGGCACTTTGTTTGGGTCATGCCAAAAGCAGGCTTTTAGTAAATGTCCTTCCATTCCCTTAGTCAAAAATGGGCACCCTCTTACTGGTCTCATCCCATCAGAAGCAAGGGAGAATGAAGAAAACTAAAGACACAAGGGAAAGATTAGTCCAAAGGACTAACGGACCACAACTACCACAGCTTCCACCAGACTCAGTCCAGCACAACTAATGGTGCCTGGCTACCACCACCAAATGTTCTGACAGGGATCATGGTAGAGGGTCCCGGACAGAGCTGGAGAAAAATGTAGAACAAAATTCTAACTCCCCCAAAAAGACATGACTTACTGGCTTGAAAGAGACTGGAGAAACCCCGAGAGTATGGCCCCCAGACACCCTTTTAGCTCAGTAATGAAGTCACTCCTGAGGTTCACCCTTCAGCCAAAGATTAGACAGGCCCATAAAATAAAACGAGACTAGGATGCCCTTTATCACCACTCTTATTCAACATTGTGCTGGAGGTCCTAGCCAGAACAATTAGGCTAGAAAAAGAAATAAAGGGCATCCAGATTGGTAAGGAAGAAGTAAACGTACCTCTATTTGCAGATGATATGATCTTATACACAGAAAACCCCAAAGAATCCACAAGAAAACTACTGGAACTAATAGAGGATTTCAGCAAAGTATCAGGATACAAGATAACCATACAAAAATCAGTTGGATTCCTCTACACCAACAAAGAGAACTTCGAAGAGGAAATCACCAAATCAATACTATTTACAATAGCCCCCAAGAAGATAAAGTACTTGAGAATAAACCTAACCAGAGATGTAAAAGACCTATACAAAGAAAACTACACAATACTACTGCAAGAAACCAAAAGACACCTGCATAAGTGGAAAAACATACCTTGCTCATGGATAGGAAGACTCAAAAATTGTGAAAATGTCAATTCTACCCAAAGCAATCTACAGATACAATGCAATACTGATCCAAATTCCAACAGCATTTTTTAATGAGATGGAAAAAAAAATTACCAACTTCATATGGAAAGGGAAGAGGCCCAGGTAAGTAAAGTACTACTGAAGAAGAAGAACAAAGTGGGAGGCCTCACACTACCTGATTTTAAAACCTATTATACCACCACAGTAGTCAAAACAGCCTGGTACTGGTGCAACAAGAGAGTCATAGACCAATGGAACAGAATTGAGAATCCAGACATAAATTCATCCACCCATGAGCAGCTGATATTTGACAAAGGCCCAAAGTCTGTTAAATGGGAAAAAGACAGTCTCTTTAACAAATGGTGCTGGCATAACTGGATATCCATCTGTGAAAAAATGAAGCAAGACCCGTATCTCACACCATGCACAAAAACTAATTCAAAATGAGTCAAAAACCTAAGATAATTCCTTTAAAGATTACAGCCTAGAAAACCCTATGGGGCAGTTCTACTTTGTCACATGGGGGTCACTATAAATCAAAAATCAAGTCAACAGCAGCTAACAACAACAACAAAACGTCAATAGAAAGTTATTTAGAAAATATCTGAACTTAGACATAGAAGCATCTGAAGTATGTAAAGAATGTAAACAAACTTGAAGTTGACTTTGCCAAGTAAGCTATGATAAAAGAAAATGTAACATAGTTAATCTTTGTAAACTAACCTTAAGACATAAATCTAAACAACCTCCCCATCTCTAACCTTGAAGAAAAGAAGTGACATTTGGCTAATCTCTAACCCTGGAGAGAAGACATAACATAATAGTCTTTGATGTCACACTGGCCCTTATTTATGAAGCCAAGGTAAAGAATTCACATATAAACCCTGAATTTCTGCTCACGCACTGAGAGAAGGCAGAGACAAAGTATCACCCTCTCAACAGTTGAGTTTCTGCCCACTGCTGCTGACCTCGGACCCTAGTTATGAAAGACCTCTGCTGAGTTTGAGCCATGGTCAAGCCTTCCTCCTAAGACCACTTGTAAAAGGCAAATGCCTGAAATCTAAAGATTGGGACTTTAACAATTGAATTAATATTGTGATTATAATTGTTAATTCTGATTCTCCAACTCTAAAAAGAATGTCGTGAGATCTTTCTTTTGTGCTTTACAATGACTACCTTGCAATAAACTAAATGAGTTTATGTATGACAAACCTGAGTTATCTCTCTATTGATTTCTAAGATTAAAATCAAAATCCTACATGACAATGAAAGAGAATAGAAAGGCTTGGAGGTGTAGTGTGGACACTGCTTCATGATGTCAGATCTGGAGAGAAAAAGAAATCAGGTGAGAGTGAAGCTCTGTCTCTGATTACCAATTCAACCGTAAGTAGAATAAGCTTTGCCATGGTTGTCATCTGTACTGGTCCATTAAAGCCTGCATTTTCTTTTTATACCTACCACCGAGTTCCTGGTTATCATGAGGGCTTCCAGGTGGAAAACATTTAACCCAGATGTGTACACAGCTAATCAATAAATCAACAGAACTCCTCCCTAAGAGTTCTTCGACTCCTAGGGCCTCTAACCCACATCTTCCCACCCCATCATCATACTCTCTGCTCGACAAAGACAAAGCAATGTGATGTCTCTGAAAAGGGTGGTGGAGACCATCACCATGGAAAGCACCATCTTAACAGCCTTTTTGGCAACTCCCAGGACGGATAAGCATCTACTTAGATACTGTGGTTAAGTTTATGTTGTGGATATTTCCTGCCTGGCATCAGTCTTTATTGAAAAGTAAAGAATAAAATCTCTTTGAAGTTTTTAGTGGTTATTAAACCTTTTTTCTTCATAGAATTATTCATATGCAATTTGTACCATCAGTGTCTAAGAAACTGTCCCTCTTTAGGAGCTACTTTCTGAGCACTCTACCCACACCTGTGGCTTGGGATGACATCAAGGCATGATTATATAATAATTTTATCTAAAAATATGTGGTTTCCAAAATGTCCCCTCTGAAGGTCACCAAGAACTGTCTGTAGTGTTCCATAGTTTCAAATTACATCCAGGAGATGCTAAAAAATATTTCTTGTTCCTGATGGACAGAGGTGATGGTGATGATATTGAAAAGAATCTCTTTTCATAGAAATATATGCAATTTGACAATTTCTAGAATTTTGTGTTTAAAATTAATTCCAATCTACCTTTTCAAACATCCATTATTACTATCCTATAATAAATGTCTACTTCAGCCTAAATGGTCTCTTCATTGTTCCTAAACATGCTTTGCATGCCTTTGCTCATGTTATCCTTCTATCCCTTGCCTGTAATGTCTTCCTTTTTTCCTCACTGCCTATCCCAATCCCAGCAATCCTTCAAAACCCAGCTCAGATCCTCTCTTTGGATCACAATGATCTCTCTTTCATCTGAATTACTCTAGTCATTATTGCCTGGGCTGCTTATACGGCACTGCTTTTCACAGTCTCTGGAATGCTGTTGGTGGGCATATTGATTGTGCATGCTGCATGGGATGTCAGTCCCTTCGCAGAGTTAATGTGAATCCAGAACAGGTTTTCCACTATCACATTTGAAAGCTAAGTTGTATTCTATTTACCCAATGGTTAGGCCCCGGCCATTTTGGTTCCCACTCTTAGGGCTAGAGAGAATCTGGATGAAATTCTATGGAATGGGGGACTTCAATTCTGAAAATAATTGTGTCAGTGAACACTGTTGTTGTTGTTAGGTGCCATCAAGTCAGTTCTGACTCATAGTGACCCTATGTGCAACAGAACGGAACACTGCTTTGTCCTGCGCCATCCTCACAATCGTTGTTCTGCTTCAGCCTATTGTTGCAGCCACCGTGTCAATCCATCTCCATGAAGGTCTTCCTCTTTTTGCTGATCCTTTACTTTACCAAGCATGATGTCCTTCTCCAGGGATTGGTCGGTCCAGATAACATGCCCAAAGCATGTGAGATGTGGTCTCGCCATCCTTGCTTCTAATGAGCATTCTGGCTGTACTTCTTCCAAGACAGATTTGTTTGTTTTTCTGGCAGTCCATGGTACATTCGATATTCTTCACCAACACCATAATTCAAAGCATCAGTTCTTCTTTAGTCTTCCTTATTTATTGTCCAGTTTTCACATGCATATGAGGTGATTGAAAATACCATGGCTTGGGTCAGGTGCACCTTAGTCTTCAAGGTGACATCTTTGCATCTTTGCATCTGTTTGCAGCAGATTTACCCAACGCAATGCCTTGTTTGATTTCTTGACTGCTTGTTCCATGAGTATTGATTGTGGATCCAAGTAAAATGAAACCTTTGACAACTTCAAACTTTTCTCCATTTATCACGATGTTGCTTATTGATCCAGTTATGAAGATTTTTGTTTTCTTTATATTGAGGTGTAATCTATACTGTAAGTTGTGGTCTTTGATTTTCATCAGTAACTGCTTCAAGGCCTCTTCACTTTCAGCAAGCAAGGTTGTGTCATCTGCATATCTCGGGTTGTTAATGAGTCTTCCTCCATTCCTGACGCCCTGTTCTTCATATAGTCCAGCTTCTCTAATTATTGCTCAGCGTACAGATTGAATAAGTATAGTGAAAGGATACAACCCTGATGCACAACTTCTTGACTTTAAACCATGCAGTATCCCCTTGTTCTGTTTGAACAACTGCCTCTAGGTCTATGTACATGTTCCTCATGAGCACAATTAAGTGTTCTGGAATTCCCATTCTTGGCAATGTTATCCATAATTTGTTATGATTGAATGCCTTTGCATAGTCAATAAAACATAGGTAAACATCTTTCTGGTATTCTCTGCTTTGAGCCAGGATCCATCTGACATCATCAGTGATATCCCTGGTTCCATGTTCTCTTCTGAATCTGGCTTGAATTTCCTGCAGTTCCCTGTCGATGTACTGCTGCAACCGCTTTTGAATGATCTTCAGCAAAATTTTTCTTGTGATAGTAATGATATTGTTCAATTATTTCCACACTTGGTTGGATCACCTTTCTTTGGGATAGGTGTAAATATAGACCTCTTCCAGTCGGTTGGCCAGGTAGGTGTCTTCCAAATTTCTCGTCATAGACATGTGAGTATTTCCAATGCTGCATTCACTTGATGAAATATCTCATTTGGTATTCTGTTAATTCCTGGAGCCTTGTTTTTCGCCAATGCCTTCAATGCAGCTTGAACCTCTTCCTTCAGTACCATCGATTCGTGATCACACACTACCTCCTGAAATGGTTGAATGTCAACCAATTCTTTTTGGTACAGTGACTCTGTATATTCCTACCTATTTATTATGTGCTAGAGATTGTACTGAGTGCTTTTATCACTTAAGATTTATTTTTTAAAACAACCAAAAACCATCTCTGGCTACAAGTACAAGTCAATATGTTGGAAAGACATGAGAAAGCTCACAGAGTTAAAGGTAAGACTGTAGAACCTGCTTCTGAAATTACAGAGATCAGACATTTCTTGGGAGTGAGAAGTGGGAGAGGGAAAGGGACTTTAGGATAAATAAACTCCAATTTTATTTTCCATCCATACATCACACTACACAAGAATCAAAATCCTAGGAGAAATATTCTGGTTCTGTTAGTTTTGTACCAGACCCTTGACTGGGGAAAGGACAGGGCACTTGGATGAAATTCTAAAAGAATGGAGAGTGAATACTGGGTGAGCAAAAACGGTGAATGCTCATCAGAAGATGACTTCATTATTTCATTTAGCCAATAAAGAGGATTATTACTATCATTCCAACTTGGCAGTTGAGAAAATTGATCTACGTTTATTAAGCACCAGATCCAGGATTCAATCCCAAGGCAAGCTGCTTCCAGAATAGAAATCTAACGTTTGCATTGCACTGCCTCCCTGTATTAAGTAGGACAGTTTTTGGTACAGGTTGAACTGGGAGAGGCATTTCCCTGGAGTAGCCAGGAGAATATGGTAGGAACACAGAACCAGAATTGTGTAAAATCAAGGTTAAATCAAGGATATGCAAAAACAAATAGGTAGACCAGTAGCCTCAGGTTTGTCCTATTAAGCACTATCAGGTCCAGCTGCTGTTTATATTTGGTGAGGCATTTTCTTTTGAGTTTGGCACCCCAATCCAAAATAAATGACCTGCAGATAAAAATCCCTTCTTATGAGCTCCTTACGAGTCCCAGCTGAGTCCCCATCAAACTTGCATTCCATCTAAGTATTCATAGAATAAGTAAAGATTGAAAATCATCAGCATTGTGTATCCTTCTGTATTGTTTTTTTTCAATAAGCCTGTATTATTTTTGGTGCCTTTCAATTTTCTTTTTTAAAAAAATTTTTTTTTATTGTACTTTAGGTGAAGGTTTACAGAAAAAATATTTTCTCATTAAACAGTCAGTACACATATTGTTTTATTACATTGGTTAACAACCCCATGACATGTCAACATGCTCCCTTCTCGGCATTGGAGGACCTTTTTTTTGGTGAAAATATACATAGCCAAAGATACACAGTTTCAAAAATTTCCACATGTACAATTCAGTTACATCGATTATGTTCTTCCAGTT